CTTCCGCTCTAAACGAAGATCCGTAGCACGGTGGGAAGCTCGACAATACTTTTTGGATTGAATTTGGATTTTTCTCTTTTCGCGCCGTGCCCGCGTGCGCATTCCGTGACTCGCGAAAGCAATCGACTTACTTCATCGGGCCAACACGGGGGATTTCAGTTCTGTTTGTGTCCCCACACTCAATTTTCCAAAAATCCTTGGCACACCCCATCTTGCTGTTTTTCCTGGGCCTTCATTCCGCACCTTTAGCACTCCGAACGAAAGACAGCACAGGGCGTGAGGTTGCGCGTCACATTCCAGTGCTAGTGGTGCTGGTAAGAGCAGACACCACTAGCACCAGGGAGGGGAGCATCACCTGCTGAAAAACGGGTCCAGCGTCCTATTTACAACTGAATTTGGAGGATATCAGGACAAAAGTCTTGAGATATACCTGCCAGCATTGATTACTCTGGAATTCAGAGGATTGACTAAGAAGGTTAAAGGAGAAAGGGAGAGAACCTCTTCGCCCTGTGTTGGGGGCCAGGTATCAGCTACTACAACCTATTTCCTCCCTCCCTAGACCTTTGCTCATTTCTTTTTGCACCTCAGAGTCTTCGCCTTTCCTTGTGGTGTCCAATCTTGCCTACCAAAATTAGTGCTGAGCGTCCTGTGTCTTGGACGTGGGTTGGGTGGGTGGGTGAGGGATAGACTCCATTGAAGTGGAAACAAGTGCAGTTTTGTTTTTCTGAAAACAGGTACAGATTTGAGTAACAGGCTGCGAAAGAGAGGTACTGCTCACCTTGAGCACAGTCGGCCATGTCGTGCCAGCCACGTGTGCACTTCGTCCCTGCCCCGCCTTCTGCTCCCACCCTCCTCCTCCTCCTCCCTCTTCTGCGCCTACTCATGTCCTCTCTGCCATTCTGACCCAGTCGCCCACCGGTGCCTGCTGTCGGTCATGGGTGCAACTGACAGAAAATCCAAGACCCGATAGACCAGTAGGAGCCGGCTAGCCGGCGGCCGCTTCGCTTGGCTGGGCAACGTGCCCCTTTTCAGGCTTCTACAGGGTTGCGTGACGAAAGCTGCAATCAAGGACCCAAAAAGGTCAGTGCTGCTCCCCACCAATAGATGACTTCGACAGGGTTGCGTGACGAAAGNAGTGCTGCTCCCCACCAATAGATGACTTCGACAGGGTTGCGTGACGAAAGCTGCAATCAAGGACCCAAAAAGGTCAGTGCTGCTCCCCAACCAATAGATGGAGCCATCTGTCGGCCAAGACCTCAATCCTGGTGGTTCTCTCACCACCACTGGGATAGAGGCCTTGTACAAGGACCACCACTGCTCCCCTTTCTTTTTCTTTTCTTTTTCTTTTCTCAACCTGCAGTGCTGTGGGCGATGCACGCAAAATGCCCGTGGTGGGACGTGTGACTCCTCCTGCCCACCTTCCTGCCCGCACCTACCTGCCTGCCTGCCTGCCTGCACGCCCATCTGTCCACCCGCCTGTACTGCCCACTCGCCGTACTGTCCACAGACCGCTACTTCCCGGCAGGCACCACTTTATCACCATTTCCCCCCCCCCCCCCCCCCCCCCCCCCCAGGTCCTTTTTGTCGTTAGCAAGCCCCTACCCTTTTCACACCCTTTGTGATTACAGCCTCCTATAAATAACTAAATTAGAGTGCACCGAAGCGGGCCTTTGGCATCCCCGTACCAGGCCAAGACAAACCAAGAACGAGAGAAAAAAAAAAAAAAAAGAAGAAGAAGAGCAAGGGTCCCATCTCAAGGGCGGGTGCACAGCCTACAGGATAGCAGTTCGACATCGTGGCAACCGACCGAATCCGGCCGAGTGGGCTTCCCCCCCCTACCCCCTACAACCTGCAGGACGCGGGCGGGGGGGAGCGCATACTCCCAGTCCCGCACGCTGGGACTTATTTCGCTCAGCTCTGGACGGATTTACGGTCAGATACGTGCAAGGTGGTCCATAATGGCGGTCAGATACATACAGGAAAGTGCTACGGTTGCATCCTATAGTCACATCCAGATACATGCAAGAAAGTGCTATGGCGGCGTGAGTCGGAGAGAGGCAGAGCGGGAAGGCGAGTGATGAGGGCCGCGGGAATACTCACACGCGGACTCTCATGGGTGCATATAATCGCTTTTCCGACCTCGACTGGATGCACCTGACCGCAACTACGTCCAAAGCGTAGTAGTAGAAAAAGTCCTGCCGGCGGTGCGAGGATGCGCTGAGAGGCGGGAGAGCGGCAGACGACAGTGGAAGGCGAGATGTAAGAAAACACACACAAAAAAAAAAACAGTGAGAGGCGGGAGAGAGAGAGGCGAGGGGGAGGGCATACGCACAGTTCCGTAGGACTGTCATCACGCATATAACCGCTTTGCTGACCCAGCTGGATGCACCTGGCGGCAATTTCATCCGCGGAGAAGTGGAAAAAAAAAAAAGGTCCTGATGTGACGATGCCCTGTGAGGGCGGGAGCGGCGGGCCTACAAAAGTTGCACTGCTCGTCATCCGCCAACATTCTGAATGCATCTGGACAAATTTAATTGCAGATACATTCGAAATGCTGGCGGATGGCGAGTAGTGTAACTACAGGTAGGCCCACAAGAGGATAGCAACTGCGTGGTTTCCTGAAGGAAGAAAGGAAACGACAAGCAAAAAATTAAAACCGAAAAAACACAAAAAAGGCGAAAACAGCGTTAGAGGAGTTAGCGGGCCAGCACGCTCGTGGCGGGAGATGTGCTGCGCGTGGCCGATTTTTGAAAGGGCCCAGGAAAAATGGAAACGACAGAAGAAAAAAAAAAGAAAACAAAGAAAAAAAGAAAAAGGAAAAGGAAAAGAAAAAAAAGGAAAAAAAAAAGAAAAAGAGGAGAAACGGACAAGCGCTAGCAGTTGAACAAATCTCTCGTCTGATTGGTCAGCGCGCGAGGATACTCCGCCAGCGCCAAGTTGTGTTTTTTTTTTGTTTTTTTTTTTTGCGTTTTTATTTCTTTTTCTTCTTCTGAAAAGCCTGCGCCAACTTCTCCCTCCTTGGCTTTGTCTGTTTCACAGAGGGCCTACTGCCGCAGTTGGACCAGTCGCCATCCGCCAAGCAAGATTCCGAATGCATACAGAAAGGAATTTGGACCAGATGCATTAAAATTGTTGGCGGGTGGCGAGTGGTTCAACTACAGTGCAGTCCCACAGTGCGCCAGACGCCAGACACGAAATCTTGAGGAGAAAAAAAAAGGAAAAAAAAAATCTTGACGAGCAAGGGAGAGGTTTCCAAGTGCTCTTTTTTTTCTTTTTTGTTTTTGAAAAGAAAAAGAGAGTGGACCCGTCTTCCGACTCCCCACGGAGGGGCGGATGGACGGACGGTGGGGCCTCTCTCCACTACGCGTCCACACTCCACATATGCATTTGGAGGATATCCTGACCAAGTGCGTTAAGAGAGGCGTCGAACATTTTGAATGTTTGGGGACGATTACGAGGTCCAGATACGTAGTTACATTACAAAAGCGAGAGGCCCATCGTACGGAGGTTACGAAGGAAATACACTGGGGGCTCGCCGCACGTGCGAAGTACAGGGACTCGCGGCACGTGCGAAGCACAGGGGCTCGCTCGCCGCACCACTCACCAAATGCAGAAACGACAAAAAATTATGGCCCTGTATATTTGCATGTTTTAGCGAAAGATCCCTTCTCATTTTTTTTGCACATTTGGTGAGCGGTGCGGCGAGGCATACCAGTAGTGTCGCACACATACGCCGCACCTGCTGAGTGCCACAGAGGCTTTTTTTTTTTTTTTTTTTTTTTTTTTTGGGAATGTGCCACAGAGGCTCGCCGCACCACTAAACCAAATGCACAAAATACAAAAAAAACTTATGCCCGTGTATATTTCCATGTCTTAGCGGAACATTCATTCTCACTTTTTTGCACATTTCGGGCGCGGGCGCAAGAGGTCCCACTTGCCCAAAGTAGTAGATTTCGGCCGTCGATCTTTGCAATCTACGTACGGTCGGGATCTCTTAATTCGTGCAAGTGGGACCTACCGTCTTCCCCCGAACATAACGCACCCTGAAATTGAACGTATACAAGCTTTTTTTTTTTTTTTTTTTTTTTTTTTTTTTTTTCTTTTGGTTACAGCCAAATTGAGGGTGCGTTGTGTTCGGGGGAAGAAGGTAGCCCCGGTGCGGCTACCGGTAGGCCTACCCGTACTGTCGCACACATACGTCTACGAACTACAGAAGGCAGGAATTCCTTAGGGCGTTGTCGCACCACTCTCGAAAATGTGCAAAATGGGAATGAACTTGCCGCCAGAACATGGCGAGATGCACCCGCCAACTTTTTGTCTTTTTCACATTTCGAGACTGGCTGGTGTGGCGAGGCCCTTACTACCGGTAGTCCGCAACCGACACATTCAAACATCCACGCGCACACGCATAGAAAGGGCCTCACTGCACTACTCTCCAAATGTGCAAAACGAGAATGAATCTTCCGCTAGAACAGGGACACATACACCGCCATGTTTTTTGTCCTTTATGCATGTCGAGAGTAGTGCAGCGAGGCCCGTAGAAAAGAAAAGAAGAGTCGCTTGCGATCAAGAGTACTCTTGTGTAGCAGCAGGCAGGCAGACTCGGTGATCGCTCAATAAACGAACCAACAGAGCAACTGTTTTGCACTGCTGTGGCAATGAGAAGACTGCGGGCTGCATGTATATGCCACGACCCGACACTTGCGCGCACACACACATAGATACAAACACTTGAACACACACGCACACACACACACGCACGCACATACACACACACACACACTCACAGAGTCATTGTGTACTCAACCGTGGACGAGACTTGGTGTCGGAAATCAGCCGTTGGACGCCGTAGTAGCGAGTAGTGGAAGAAGAACTCCTGTGTTCATCGGATGATAGTTGGTTCTGCTGTAGATTATCAGACAGAGTTGTGATTACAGTCCCACGCCAGAGAGTGTGTAGTGTTTAGGGTTCCTTGGCGGCGTGAGAGTATGAATCTCGGTATAGTGTCGACAGAGGCGTGCAGCGCTTTTGTGCGTCGCTTCCTCGCTGAATCGTCTACATCTCCATGGTCTTTGCGCTCGCTTTAGTTAAGCTTCTTGAGCTATCTTGGCTGTGTGTTAGAGGTGGGCGGTGTGAGATTTGGTTTACTCAGCGGTTGATTTCTCGCTCGTTCGAGCGGTTATGTTTGCTGAGGATCTCTCGTCTCCTTCATCAGCTCACTGGCTCGAGCGGCCAGGTCGCCTCGACATGAGTCTATCTTCTTCTTCTTCTTCTTCTGTCTTCTTCGTTTTCTGCTCTCGTTTCTCTGGATGCGTGTAAAGTTTGCGGACACAACAGCGTGTCTAGGCACACACACACACAGAGAGAGAGAGAGAGAGAGAGAGAGAGAGAGAGAGAGAGAGAGAGAGGGAGAGAGGTTGGCCGGTTGAACAGGTGGAGCGTAACGATTGACCGTTTCGCGGGGTGAGTGACCAGAGGGAGGTGGACGTTTTCAACGGATTAGATGCAGATTGTGTGTGTGCAGCAGAGCGGATGCACACACCAACCAGCCGCTGCCTGTAGACAGACTTGTGTTTGGCTCAGCAGCCTATGTGGGAGCAAGTCATCTTCCAGCAACGTATATCTTTAGATCGGAGATCAGTCTGACTATTGATCGACGAGTAGGATCCTCAGCCTATGCGCGCGACTTCTTGGCGATGAGCTATGAGATCGCGCGGTGAAGAGACGATACAAATCAGTTCAGCTTTTTGAAGGAAAAGAGAGAATGTGTGTTGGATTGATCGATGATCGATCTGTCGACTCGTTGAGGTCGAAGAACTGAGGGGAAGGAAGGGGAAAAGTGTATATGGTTAAGTGTATGGTTGAGGGTACATATCAAGCTAATAAGGCTAGCTGCGCGCCGGAGGGTAACCGTCATCTACCTATCTGTTCTTGCGTGATTGGAGTGCATCTCAAACAGCAAGAGAGGAAGAGACAGAGAGGTGAGGTGAATTGGATTCCACTTGCGCGCTGTCCATTGTGGATTGAGGACGAATCAACGGTGCAGTGGGGCGATCGTGAGGGGTGTTGAGTTGCCTGGATGGTATGATGTGCCAACAACTAGATAAGGAGGAGAAGGTTGATTGCAATTGCACTGCCCGTTCGGTGTGAGAGTATCGCTGCAAGAGAAGAGAAGAAGAGGAGATCGAGAGTTCTTTGCTCTCTCTTGAGCCAGACAAGGCTGCGGTCTCTCTGATCTACACACACACACACACACAGAGAGAGAGAGAGAGAGAGATGGATGTGATGGTGCCGTCTCTGATCGGGCGAAAGAGAGGGAGGTATGCGTGTCTATCGGCATCGCCAGTGGATGTGAACATGTTCAGCGGGTGCTGGCCTTTCGCCTGCGGAACGGAAAACGACAAGAGCATGAGTAAGACCCAGCGCTCGATCGACGAGAGCGCGAGGGATAAAGAACGGGAGAGGGTGGGCATAACTGGTGCTTGTCGCGTAGCGCAGTGGCCTCAGGATGACTGGTGCGTGAGGAATCATTGCGCTCCTGCGCCAGCTCCAGCTCCTGCTCCTGTCAATCCTTTTGCCACTGGCATTATTGGCGAAGGTAAGCGAGCGCGTGTCGATGACCCGAACCCGGTAGTAGAGGACATGTTCCTCCATGGTGGCTATGGTGGTACATCGATGCTGATGTCTGGACCACCTGCGGCAGTCTTAGGAGCATCGTCATCATCACCATCAGTAGCAGCAGCAGGAGGAGGAGGGGGTCTTGTGGGAGCTGCACACGATTGTGCCAGGATGCTCAGCACAGGAGCAGCAGCAGCAGCAGTGGCGGCGGGCAGGGACTGTAGTCACAGCTTCGCTGCTGCCGAAGGATCGCCGAAATCGACGATGACAACGCTGGGGACTACAGACTCAGCCTCTGCGTCGATGCTAGAGTGGGAAGCTGACGATTGCGATTTCCCTCTGGGGATTTTTCAGTGGGTCGTCGACTGTATGACTAGCGACGATCAGCAGCAGCAGCAGCAGCAGCAACAGCAGCCTGAGAGTGCCTCGTTTTCTGTTGTCGTCAACAGAAATGAAGTGGGATCGGCCATCGCGCCCGGGTCTATGTGCCTCCCCCTGGCGTCCCACTTTCAGCAGCAGCAGCCACACCAACAACAGCATCAAATGGAGTACGGGAGTGGCAGGCAGCAGCAGCAGCAGCAGCAGCCGCAACGACAACAGCAGATGGAGTATGGGAGCGGGAGGACATGCAGCAGCATACAGATGAATGGCAGCAACTGTCTTAATAACAACAGCAATAACGGCAACGATCAAAACGTCAATATGAACAACGAGGGTGACGCCAACTGTTGCGCTTACAATGTTGAGACAAAGATCAGCTCTTCTCAGGCGACAAGCGGATCAGGCATATTTCACAGTTTGTTTGATGTGGGAGTGGATTTCGGCTCGGTGATTGTGGACGATGATGGAGGACACGTGGCACGTGAACAGGACGGCCACGTGGCAGGCAGCGATGGAAGCACGGTCATCCAGGCTGGAGGTCCAGAAGGAAGTTGCGGGAGAGTGGAGATGTCCGAGGAAGTGGACAGTATCTATTTGGGGCGCGGTGGGTTCCAAGAAGCGATTGGTGAGTTGGGAGGTGTGGTTGTGGCATCGGCGGCAATGGCTGCGCCTTCGATGGGTGTAAATGGGCCTATCGTTATGCCCGGGTCGGGATGCCTTCCTCCCCCGTCTCGTGCTATGGCTGCTTCTGCCGTTCATCGGCCCACTCCGACAGATCTTGCTCTTGCAAACCACATGTGCATGTGGCTCGGCGGCTATCCTACCAGCGCTTGCGCATCTCCGCTCGGTGATGCGCGCGTGATGAGATCGCCTGCGCCGCCGCGCTCCGCCGGGGCAGCGGAAGCAGCAGCCGCCGCCGCTGGCGGCGTTTTCGTTGACGCCAACGACAATTGCGCTGCCACTGCTTTGCGCAATCGCCATGTCATGGGATTTGACGAAGAGATTGGACTTGTGAGCGCCCCAGGGACAGCGGGGGGAGGCGGAAACGGCTCCTCCGTTGGTGGAGGTGGTGCAGGTGGTACTGATGCTGCTGCTGCTGCTGCTGCTCTGGGTTTGATCAGTGCGAGCGTATCGGGGGAGGGAGGAGGGGGTGTTGCTGGTGTGAGGTGTGCGGCCGATGTGGAGGAGGAGCAGGCCATTCTTTGCCTGACCCCTGGCCCGGCGATGGTTGCCGATGACGAAGTGGGTAGGTGTGGCGCGGGAGGTGGGTTCGCTAGGGGCGGGTTGCTTTGCTCCGGCGTCTCTGCGGCGCGTCTGCTCCAGGAGGAGGAACCGATCGCGGCGGCGCTGCTCCCCCCTCCCGACCCGATCGGGATCGAGCTTGTCCAGGCTGACGTTGATTACTTGCTCTCTGTATGTGACCCCCAAACCGTGTTCAATTCCTCCCTCCCTCTCGGAGGAGGTTGGGATGTCTGCGGTTTCGCAGAGGACGATGCAGACTCTGAAGATCAAATCAACGGCGACGATGACGAGTTGCGCCTCTTCGTGCCGGAGGACCTGGAGGCAGAGTGCAGCAGCGTGTCAGGGTGTTGCAGAGGATGGAAGAGCAGCAGTCGCAGGAGCATCAGCAGCAGCAGCAGCAGCAGCAGCAGCAGCAGCAGTAGCAGTAGCAACTGCGGTGGTGGTGAAGGCGGAACACGCGGAAGGCGGCGCACTGACTCGGCGGACAGATGGTGCGCTGCTGATCTTGATCCGGATGTGTGCTCCTCCTATACGAGTCGGAGGATGGGGAAGGATACCTATTTAGGAAATCATAAGTTGGAACATCGGCGCCAACAAGTTCATATGGAGGAGGAAGAAGAGGAGGAGGAGGGAGAGGAGATGGACAGTGCGCGAATTCCTCGCAGATCGACGGCCGATGGTGACGATCATCAACGGATAACAGCAGCAGCAGGAGGACAAGTGGCGGCTGCTGCTGCTGCTGCTGCTGCTGCTGCTGCTGCGCCGGCTAGTTGCGGTAATCTTCAACAAGCTGTGGGGGCAGCAGTAGGTGCAGGAGAAGGAGGAGGAGGAGGAGGAGGAGGAATCTATGGTGGTGGTGAGCCTGTTGGTGCCTTGTCAGTTATGGATTCGGATATGGATATGACAAGGATGATGTTGATGAATGGAGCTGTGGTACAGAACCCCATCGAAGTTGTTGATTGCTCTGGAATTGGAAGGAGAGGGAAGGGAGAGGGAGAGGGAGAGGAGGAGGAGGAGGTGGTCGCACGAAACCAGAACCAAGAGGAACTGCTTCATGTAGAGCTCCAGTTGCTAGGAAGACCGTTTTGTCCGTTGCAGAGCCTGGAAGCGGAGGTTGACTTCCATTCGGTGGGGGCGCCAACGGGAGCTTCTTATGGGATGAACCAGGAACAGAACGTGGTCCAGGAACAGAACCTCGACCAGCTGTTCCTTCTGGATCGGCTCGGGAACAACCGAAGGATGGGAGAAGTAGGTGATGTAGCAGGCCAGCATTGTAAACAGCTTTGTCGGACGTGAATATGCCATCTGCTTGTGTGTGCAAAGACGACCAAGTACGTTACGACACGTGTCTCTCCTCCTGTCCCTTCTTTTCGCGGCAGGAAGACACTCCAAGACAACGTGATCGACCGCGTCCGAGCGAGAGAGAGAGAGAGAGAGAGAGAAGCCTTTGCTTTGGCCATAACGACGGTTGCAATGGGGTTGAGATCATATGCATGAATCCTTGAGAGCCTGTGTGCCTTCTTCACTTTCTCGGTGATAAAAAGACCATCTCAAAGACGGGTGGGAGAGCATCTCTCTCGGTAATGCGAGCGAGAGGCAAAGAGCAGACATGTGCGTGTGTGAGACACATCACACACACACACACACACACACACACACACACACACACACAGAGAGAGAGAGAAGCATTCGCTGCATAATTTTTCTGGCTGTTTGTTTGCTGGTTTTGTTTCTTAGTTCACTTTTTTTTGTAACGTACCTGGCGTGTCCTATTAGACTGATACGTTGGCTACCCCGATTCATTCATCATCATTTTCCTACTGTAGGCCGAACGCCTATTCCGCGTCGGTTCTTATTTCCCTCGCTTTCGTTATAGAGGGATAGATAAGGAAACAACATTGGCGGTGAGAGGGCGGGGGCTTTGCGGGAAGAAACACACACACACAGCGAGAGAGAGAGAGAGAGAGAGAGAGGGGGAGGGGGGAATTCACCTGCGAATTCGGTTGTTTCTGTACAGGAGTTTGTTTTTGAAGGAGGGAGAGGAGAAAAAGGATGAGCTCTTGGGATATACAATGTATGTGAGGGCTTATTCACACATAGGCTTTTTCGACTGACCTCTGGACATGATTGCAGTCAGATGCATCCACACCTGGCCGTAATTGCAGTCAGATACGTTTAGGGAGTTGTTCGATGTGAATTTCGAAGGCACAGCTTATTTCTTCCTGTCCTTTTTGTACAAAGGGAAGAACGAGGTCTCTTCTTTCTCTAGAGATTTATTTTTGGGCAGTCTTGAAACCAACTTTACTTGGGACGGACATTTGTCGAAAAGATATCCAAATTCAATTGATGACTTAGAGAGAGAGCGTCATCATGTGGACGCTCTTTTATTATCGGGAAAAAAGAAAAAAAAAAAGGCAAGTCCGTCTGATCACGGTTCTTGCTGTTTCGGTGTCAAACACGGTTGTTCTGTTTTTTTTTGTTTTTTTTTTGGTTCATGTTCTACTTTATATTTGTTCGCCTTGCTCCATTCTCTAGTGGCAAGAATGATTTTTCTCCAAAAACAAAAAGAAGAAATCTTTTTCCCCTTGCTCCGTTCGCTGTGCTGTTCTCTGACTTCCCATTGGGAATACTCACACTAGGACACTTCCTCACATGTTTCTGGTCGGAATTGCGGTCGCATACATTAGGAACGGCCGTAGTCACGGTCACATACATCCAGGAACGAGTGCTAGTGTGAATACGCCTTCTTTTCCCTTCTTTTCTCTTTTTCATCCTTCTAGCTTCTCTTTTCTCCCCTCGTTCTGCCATCTCAGCCTTCTCATCTTCTCTCTCTCTCTCTCTCTCTCTCTCTCTCTCTCTCATTTGTCTTTAACTCCTGTTCCAAGGAGTTTCTGCAACGCACTACATTTTTTTTTTTTTTTTTTTTTCTCACCCGTCCGTTCTTGAGATATTCTCGTTGGCCACCTCTCTCCTCCCCTCTCCCCCCCCCACACACTCCCTCTGCTGCCTTCGCTCTTCGTTCATTCTATGAGAGCATGCTCGCATTTTCACTTTTGCAACGGAATTTGCCTTCGCTTAAAGGCATATACATCCCAGAAATTCCTGTCTGCGGCTCTCACTTTAACTCTGCTACGCTCTCTCCTGTCACTCACTCGTCTATTTTATTCATCTACGTACAGCTTATATATATACATGTATATGTCTGTATATATATGCATATATATACATGTACATATGGGATCTCTTCAAGCATTTGTGCACATTCATATGTACTCGTTGGGCCTCCTTCACCACTCATAAAATGTGTGAACTGACAATTGAATCTTCCGCTAGATTTTCACTTTCGTGGATGTGTTGAACCTTGGGGTGAGGCCTTATGTAAAGCATGTATGTGTCATATGTGTGTGTGTGTGTGTGTGTGTGTGAGTGAAATCTATCGTTATCCAGTTTGGATTTTATAGAAAGATAGGTTCGGATTTGTCCGTTGGAAAAAAAATAGTACGTCTCTCTCTCTCTCTCTCTCTCTCTCTCTCTCTCTCTCTCTCTCTCTTCTTTGGGCTGTTTTCAGTCGCTGCTAGGGTTTTTGGATGGGTTTAGTAGAGCAGAGTAGTAAATCCCCTGCCCTCGTTTTTTTGGGGGTGGAAAATGCAGTGCCAGCATCTCGGTGGCCAAGGGGGCTGAATTCGATGAATTCCTTGTTTCCTGGCCGTTGATCTTTCACAGGCCTTTTGTTTCTTTTTCCTTTTTTTCCTCCGTTGCTCGTGGCCGGAAATGAGGAACGATCAGGGGCGAGGTCCCACTAGCAAAGAGGATTGGATCGGACGCCTGAATCTGGACTTGTTTGTGGAAAGGTGCAGAATGTTGCGATTGAACTGCTTTCCTGCACGTCCAGTTTCAGGATATTTATCCAATCCTCGTTGCTAGTGGGACCTCGCCCCAGGAATCCGATGAAGCGAAGCCTCGCCCCCTAGTGTGATACAGACATCTCCCTTCTTTTTTTTGCTTCTCTTTTTCGTGTTTCCCGTATTGTGTTGTTTTATCCCTGGGTGCGCTTTCATGCGCGCTCTACATACAGCTCCCAAAAAAAAAAAAAAAAAAAAAANTTTTTTTTTTTTTCGAGAAGTTGTCACTTTTCTTGCCAAGAATCAGCAAGGACCCAATGAGGCCGGGGGAATCGAAAAACTGCTGGGGCCATTACCCAGCTTTGGCTATAATGCAGGCTATTTATCTTCAAAAAAAAAAAAAAAAACAAACAGAAAACTGGAAACCCGGTCCAGTGTCCCAGGGTGTCCCTGTTCGTCTAGAAAAAACTTCCCAGAGCGAGGTCCCACTGGCAAAGGGGATTGGATAGATATCCTGAATCTGGACGTGTCTTAAGCGGACATGCAGAAAAGCCGTTCAATCTCGATATTCTGCACCATTCCACAAACACGTCCAGATTCAGGTCTTCAATCCTAGCAGTTCAATCTAGACATTCTGCACCATTCCACAAACATGTCCAGATTCAGGTCTTCAATCCTATCCTCTTTGCTATTGGGACCTCGCCCCCAGAAAGTAATCACCTGAAGCTCAGTATAAAAAAAAAAAAAAAAAAAAAAAAAAAAAAAAAAAGAAACAACGGTAAGTAGGGGTGCTGGAAACCGGGTCCAACGTCCCACTAACCTGGGGCCAAGTCCCACTAGCAGCGTTGAGCTACCTCAACGCCTGAATCTGGACACTTTTGGTGTTGAGTTTCCTGAACTGCACATCTCCACAAACCCGTCCAGCTTCAGGCGTTGAGGTAGCTCAACGCTGCTAGTGGGACTTGGCCCCAGGTTAGGTATACCGATGCGTTGTGTTCGAGGGAATCAGACTCTAGAGTGGAATTTTAGGCCGCTGAGCTCTTCCCTTTATAAGCAGCGACAGCCTTGAGATTCGGTGTGAAAGATCAAGCGGCCTACTTCAGTCGGTGCAATTGGAATTCAGGCGGTCGTGGGTTTTATCTGCACTCACCACCCGGTGCATTCTTGGTATAACCCAACTTAGATAGTTGGCTTGCTCCCCTCCCTTTTCCCTTTTTGGTAGGGTCTTTGGCCGTCAATGGGGTGTGTTTGTACGTGCGTGTGTAGGGTTGTGTGTGGTGTGTGAGTGCTGGCCATGTTATACACTGCCATTACTCGATGGGGCTTGGTCTTTGCGGTAGCAGCTACACCCCCCCCCCCCCCCCCCCCCCCCCCCCCCCCCCCCTACCCCCCTGGTCTCTGGCCCCACCCTACTCCTCCGTGACCACCACCAATCAGGGCCCGGGGCAATAAGGTAAGGAGGGGAGGGGGGGGGAGAAAAGGACAAAAACAGATATCATCGTCAAACGGACCCTGCTGCAGCGAAGGGCCTCCCTGCACTACTCTCCTTTTCGCCTAACTTGGTGGGAGGAAACATGTCAGATTTTTTTTTTTAATTATTATTATTATTATTATTTTTTGTTTAAAAAACATGTCAGAATTTGAACCATTTCTCGATTTAGGGCCTAGTTGCACTACTCGCCATCCGTCACATTTCGTGGGGATGCGTGGAGAGTGAAAAAACCAAGAATCGCGTCCAACTCGAGTCCTGGTTGCACTTACTCGCCATTATATTTCTGCTACAGAGAAGTTATTTTTTTTTGTCTACCTGATGTCCACTCGTGAAAACCCTGCACTGTGGAGAGGTCCGAGGACCATTCTCCACAAACCGCTCTCCACAAACCGCCGTGCACAGGCGGGGAAACCGAATTCGCTCTCCACAACTTGTGTGACCGTCTGGCGAGCAGTCTGACACACTTTACATTCGTCAAGTTTGGCGAGTAAGTGCAACCAGGCACCTACTCGCCAAACTTGGCCTATGGAGAGTAGTGCAACTAGGCCCTTATGCGTGCATGCCAGAATTTTCGACAGCTGCCTTTCTCCATCCTCGAGACATTGTGGCCAGTTCCCTAGTTGAACTACTCGCCATCGGCCAACCTTTTTTTTTTTTTTCTTCTTTTTTGTTTCGCAATGTTGTTCCTTTGAATCTGGCCCTGACCCGACAGCGAGGCCGGGGACCTCACAATTCCACCCGGATACTGAGGCCCTGCCCCAGCTTGGCTCGTGCTGTAAAACAGGTCCAGCGTCCTCTCAGCTTGTTTAAACAGGGTATCCCTGTTCAATCTGACGAACAGTTGCGGGAAATCAGGTCCAGCGTCCTTGCTCTGACGAACAGTTGCTGGAAATCAGCCAACATTTTGCATGCATCTGGACGCAGATGAGTCCAAATGCATTCAAAATGTTCGTCCATGGCTAGTAGTGCAACTAGGCCCTTTCTACCGCTGCTTTGTGGAGGGTAGTCCTAGTGACCCCTCCACAAAACCACTTCTTGGAGAGCGCACGGTTTCACGGCTGTCGACTGGCTTCTTCCCCCGAATACAACATACCGTCATTATAACTGTATCTAGACTGAAAGATGCCTCAAATACAGCTATAACGACCGTACGTTGTATTCGGGGGAAGGAGGTTGGCCGACAATGTTTTTTTTTTTAACTGTTCTGTGGAAATCACAGAGTGGCGAGTAAGTGCAACGTCCCCTCCAAATCTCAATGACATGATTTTATTATTATTATTATTATTATTATTATTTTTTATTTTTTTTTTGGGTTTGACATGATTTTAGTTTTTCTAACAAGGAATTGTGACCGATGATATGGGCCCGAGTTCAAGAATTGTGTGTTTGACTAAAAAAAAAAAAAAAAAAAAAAACCAGCAGCAACATGTCTGGCTTGTCATGTTCTCTACACACCACTCCATACTAAAACGCGTCTGTTGCCATTTTCGCTTTTTACATGTCCTCAAAAAGTGCGTCTCCTCTGTGTGTGTGTGTGTGTGTGTGTGTGCACAGAGCGAGAGCGAGATGTGTGTCTGTTTGCGTCTTTGTGGGTGTGTTTTTGTTTGTGTGTGTGTGTGTGTGTGTGTGTGCACAGAGCGAGAGCGAGATGTGTGTCTGTGTGTGTCTGTGTCCGTCTTTGTGTGTGCGTCTTTGTGTGTGTGTGTGTCTGTGTGCGTCTTTGTGTGTGTGTGTCTGTGTGTGTGTGTGTAAGAGAGAGTGTGTGTGTGTGTGTGTTGTGGCTGCTGTCTCAGATCAGCAGCTTTTGATGTTTCCCTTAGAAATCAGACGAGTTGAGCCTCTCTCTTCAAAAGGAGTTCCATAAATAAATTATTAATTAGTAAATTGGGAATTAGTAATGAGCTGGTGATTTGTAATTAGTGATCAGCAAGATTAACTCTTTTAAGAAAACAGTTTGCTCGCGAAGACGCACACAAACAGAAAAACAAAATAAGGAGTAGTTTTTTATGTTGTGTGATTTTGCTTGCTCGCTTGCTTCGTATGTGCTATGTAGTCG